ATAACTCGCTCATACGAACTCGGAATTGAGCAAACTCGGCGGCGTTGGAAAGATCATTCCACAAGCTTCACAACCATAACTGGAACTACTCCTAAATCATCCTGATCTGGAAGTTATGACTGCTCAAAGTTGGCCAAAAATCACTGATTTCCACACTTAGCCAATTTTCCAGATTTTCAAATCCTTTCCAAAAATGAAAATTTTCAAATTCTAAGCCTCTTCTTAGCTATTTCAAATTGTCGGATGTTACATTATGAACTCTTCTACGAGGGAGTAGTTGAAGAGAAATTTATTATAAGACATAATAATTTGTTATGAAATGTCCTATCAAAATTAAAATCATACAATACCAATATACCATGGACTTTTCGATATTTACATTAAATTATACTACTTATTATGGTTAAGCCAAAATTAAAGATATTATATGTGTTAATTAATTATGATTAGCAATAGTCAATAGAAGTGTAAGTTATGATATGTTTCATGTATTCACAGAGTTGGTATAAACACTGAATATGCATAATCTTTATTAGAATATTGTTGTGTCGTTAAAACTTCAACCCTTTTATTTTTAAATTTCTTTTGCTTACATCTGAGATTCTATAATTATTACTAATAGTTTATTAATGGTGTCATTCAAAGTTAATTAGGTTTCTCCGCTTATGAATAATGTAAGTTATTGAAATCTAAAATTATATTTGACCATGTAAATACTTTTCACACTATGATAAATAAAATTGAATTCTCAAAACAAGTGTGATCAAGCAATTTTGGACAAAATGGGCATATATGAAAAAACTATATTTGCTAAATCTTAAAATAATTAGTGAAGAAAATTTATATTCACAAAATAAATGTGATCAAGTAATTTAGGACAAAATAAAACTCTCGTGACATAACATATTCACTTCACCTAGTTATAACATATTACTAATTGTGAATCGCGTTGTATAGGATCACTCATCACACTAATATAAACCCCTAGGCTTTCTCTTCCTCTCACTTGTCAATTTTCAGTGTTTGAGAATCTAGCAAAACACTGAACTAAAATCTCTCTCAAATTGATTTGGCCAGAATTCATTGGTACGCTACGATTGAGGTGAACTGCTTGGCCAAAATCTCTACCACTTTGCTTAGTTCATTAATTACGCTGAAATTTATCGCATAAAATTCATCTATGATAATCTTCTTTCTAAAAAATGCATCATATGATCTTTCTTGTTTAAAAGTCTTAAAATATCAAAAAGGGAGCAATTTTTTTTTGTTTATTTACTCATTTTAGACAAGTAATTTTAGTGATGATTATGACCTTAGCATATCTACCTGTGAGACATATTTATTTATTGATTTTTAATCTTCAATATTTTTAGTGCTATGTTGGCGATATTTTCTATAATTGTGTTTTCAAGTTGAGAGTGAGATTCAATTTTTTTTCTATTCTAATTATTTTATTTTTACTTTTTACTTTGATTTTTGAAGTGAGATTTTTGCATTGATAGAGCTCGATATTTACTATTCAGTGTTGGAGTACTACATTTGAAATACTTGAAAATGGTAAAGTTTTCGATTTGAATTGTTTCAACATTTATTTTGTTGCACCAGTAGTATTTTAAAAATGTTGTAATTTAGGCTATGGTAAATTAACAATAAACTTTCTTGCTTTAATCTGTGTTCTCTTTTCATTTTCCTTGTGGTAAATTGTTGAGGAATTCTTATGGCTCAAGTCATATACAATTAAATGAGAATCAGTTGTTCGAACCAAAAGTTGTTTTACTGGTATTCTATTCTGCATACTGATTCTTGACATGTATATACTTTGGCTCCTCCTGTACTTGTAGAGGGTACCTTATCAAAGGTGAATCTAGAATTTCTAGAATGTACACTACTTAAAAAAGAAAAAAAATAGTTATTAAATGATAAATTTAGTGTGCTAAAAATCAATTAGCTCGATTATTAAACAAGATAGCTTCATTCTTTGTATATAGTCATTTGTGTTTATGGATTTCCCCTTCTCTTCTTTATTAGTAGAGATCAAATCAACTCTTCCAAGCTGGGGTTTTTCATTTATAACTGCGGTAGAAAACCTTTTTCACAATAGCATGAAATATTTGTGCATTTATATGCCTTCTACAAAAAAGATTATCGATGAAACTTGAATAGCCTTAATAATTTCTTTTCCACACTCTAACAACTTTTTTTATGATCTTTCTAGTCTTTCCAGAACAAGTTTCCTGAGGCACTTAATGATGTTGAGCGGAAATCTGGAGAAGATAGCATAAATGCTACATCTCTAGGACAAGGAATTGGAAACGTCATTTTTATGGGGGACAACTCTGCAAAGGAAAAAAACTCCATCAATCCTACAGACAACACAATCAACAATGTGAATGGTGATAAGGATGGTGTTGCCTCTAGGATCCCAACTCCTGATGCCATGAGTGATTACTGCGTTGGCAAGCCGCGTCGGGGTACTAGAAGTGTAATTCCACCAAAAAGGTTGGACGATTACTTTTGGGAAGGAATAAAGTCACGTGAGCAAGGCCAGAATTAGTAATGGAATTGGTATAGAAGTTTGAGAACGTGAGTAGGAAGGATAAGGAAGTTAATTATGATTTTGAATATTCTCGTTTCCTTTTAGACTTCGAGTTTCATTTTCGAGTGCATTTTCATGTATTGTTGTTCCCTGCAATTGCCTTTGTTGCATCTTATCGTATTCAATAAAACATATTACTAATATATATCCTTGTATTGTGAAATTGTAAGTTGTTGCAGTAACCCTTGTGTTGCCCCTATTACTATTGTATTCTAACAAACTCATTTCTTGGTCTTGTATCGTGAGACCTTACAAAGGTGCAGTTATTATCATTCATTCTCTTTGCTTTTATCATATCATAATTAAGCCTCTCCAAATTCCACAAGTATAAAAAACAAGTCTTTATTTATGCAGAAATGCAACAAGCCTCTCAATTGAGTAACTTTTCATCAATTCTTTTCTAAGAATATCACTCGGAGGGAATAGTGTCCACTGGTGATGATGTATATAGTTATGAAATCATGGTGTTGTATATTGTTTTCTTAAATAAATTTGTTTGTACTTCAAAGTGTTGCATTTCCTTCATTTTGCGATTTCAGATTTGAGTGATTTTTAACCTGTTTTACTTTAGTAATTACGTTTTTGGTTCATTAATTTCATCATTTTACCAGAAAAATGCACATCTAAGTAGATATCATGTCTCTGCTTAGTGAAAGTTTCAAACTTGGTCTTTTCATGCCAACGCACCAATTAGGAGCAGTTATAAAAGAATACATGATTTTTTGGAGAATATTTACTTTATCATATGTGTATAACAGTCAGTCACATAAAAGACAAAAGATCTTATAACAAATAAGACTATCATAGAGAGGGTTTGACTAGATTATTATTTTAAAAAAATAAGTTTACATTTAATATCAACAAACTTGTTTTATTAGAAAAGCACACATATTCAAGGTGTGTAATAGTGGAGTAACTTCCACTATATCCACTGGTAGTGTGTTTGAAAATAGAGATCTATGTAGAACGCACATATTGAAGAGAAAAAAAAAATATTTAAATTTTAAGTAATGAACGAAAATCCGTGACAACAACATCCTCTCCCCAGCCTATGGTTGCAAGAGAGACAAACACTAGTTTAGGGTGAATGAGCATATATAAAGAAAAAATTATTTACTGAATTTAAAAACTGTTAGTGAAGAAAATTTAAATTATGAAACCAAGCGTGATCAAGCAATTTAGGATGAAATGAGCATATATGGAAAAAAAAATATTGAATCTGTAAGAAGTTCATGAAGAAAAATTGAATTTAAATTTAAATTTTTGAAATAAGTGTGATCAGGTAATTTAGGAAAGAATAAGTATGTATATGAATAAATTTATTTTGAAAAATATTTCAATTTTTTTTAGTTTTTTATCTACTTCGATTGATTAATTTGATTTTTTATCGATTTATGAACACTCCTACGAGGGAGTAGTTGGAAGAGAAATTGATTATAAGACATAATAATTTGTTACAAAACGTGATATTGAAATTAAAATCATACAATACCAATACCATGGGTGTTTCGACATTTACATTAAATTATACAATTTTATTATGGTTAAGTCAAAATTAAAGATATAATCTTTATTAGCAGTAAAAATGTAAGTTATGATATGTTTCATGTATTTTTAGAGTTGGTATAAACACCGAATACGCATAATTTTTATCAAAATATTGTTGGGTCATTAGAACCTCAACCTTTTTTGTTAAATTTTGTTCGTTTACATATAAGATTCCTTAATTATTACTAATTGTCCATTAATGGTGTCATTCAAAGTTAATATTAGGTTTCTCCGCTTATTAATAATGTAAATTATTGAAATCTTAAATCATGTTTGACCATGTAAATACTTTTCGCACTATTGATAAATAAAATTGAATGCTCAAAATAAATGTGATCAAGTAATTTAGGACAAAGAAAGTATATATGTGAATAATATTCTATTTACTAACCTTTGACCATAAATTTAATTAATCAATATTTTTTATCGTTTATTCCATTCTAGCGAGACCAGTAAACAACTACTAATTATGACATCTCATTTAAGATTCTTTAACAAGACTCTCGTGATATAACACAGTCAATTCAGCTAGACATAACATAATTTTTTCCGTAAACCGTGTTGTATAGAATCACTCATCACACTTATATATAAACCCTTGAGCTTTCTCTTCCTCTCACTTATCAAATTCAGTGTTAGAGAATCTAGAAAAACATTGAACTGAAAACCCTCTCTAATTGATTTGGCAGGAATTCAATTTGGAGAATTCATTGGTGAGCGACGATTAAGGTGAACTACTCTGCCAAAAACTCCTTCACTTTGCTTAATTCATTACTTATGCCGGAATTTATCACATAGAATTCACCAGCGGTAATCTCTTCTCTTCTTTTTTTTTTAAATCTCTTCTTTCTAACAAATGTATCATAGGAACTTTCTCGTTTAAAAGTTTTAAAATATCAAAAAAGAAAGTAATTTTTTTGTTTATTTACTTATTTTAGACAAATAATTTTAGTGATAATTATGAACTTAGCATATCTACCCTGTGAGAATTATTTATTTATTTATTTTTATTTTTCAATATTTTTGGTGCTATGTTTGGCAGTATTTTAGATAATTGAGTTTTCAGGTTGAAAGTGAGATTCTCTTTTTTTAAAATAAATTAGTTTTATCAGGTTCCCATAATCTGTTCTAATTATTTAATTTTCATTTTTTTCTTTGATTTTTTAAGTGACAGATTTTAGCATTCATACAGCTCGATACTTGCTATTCAGTGTTGGAGCACTGCATCTGAAATACTTGAAAATGGTAAAGTTTTCTATTTGAATTGTTTCAGCATTTATTCTGTTGCACTAGCAATTTTTTTAAAATGTTGTAAGGCTATGGTAAAATTGACAATAAATCTTTCTTGTTTTATTTTATGTTCCATTTTTTCAATCTCTAGTGTATGCTTTAATTTGATTTATGTCCTCCTTTTTCTATTTTTTTTTCAATCTCTAATGTGTGTTTTGATCTGTTCTTTTTTCATCTACCTTGTGGTTTAAAATTCATGTTTTTTATGTTGAAAAATTGTTATGGTTCAAGCCAAATACAATAAATTGAGAGTTAGTTGTTCGAACCAGAAGTTGTTGTACTAGTATTTCGTTCTGCATACTGATTCTTGACATGGATATACTTTGGCTCCTCCTTGACTTGTAAAGGGTACCTTATCAAAGCAAAACTAGAATTTCTAGAACGTGCACCACTTAAAAAAGAAAAATTAGTTATTAAATTTTAAATTAGTGTGCTAAAAATTAATTGGTTCAATTATTAAACAAGATAGCTTCATCTTTTGTATTCAGTCATTTGTGTTTATTGATTTCCCCTTGTCTTCTTCATCAGTAGAGATCGGGTCAAATCTTCCAATCTAGGGTTATTCATTTATAATTGCAGTAGAAAACCTTTTTCAAAGTATCATGAAGTATTTGTGCATTTGTATGCTTTCTCCAAAAGAAGATTTTAGGGGAAACTCGAATAGCCTTAATATTTTCTTTTCCATTCTCTGACAACTTTTTGTATTATCTTTCTAGTCTTTCCAGAGTAAGCTCCCTGAGGTGCTTAATGATGTTGATGCTCTAACTGATGGAGAGATGAGTAGTGGAACTTCCTTAAGTATCGAACACAAGTGCGCTCATCAATCTTTAGGCAGTGAATATGTGACAAGTGAAACAAGTCGTTTGATTAATCCTCCTCAAAATAATTTTTTGTCTCGTGCTGGGAAAGAACCTACTGATCTGAATGCTAGAAATAGTAACATAAGTCGTCTTCTGCTTCAAAATAATTATATTTTGGCTCGTGTTTGGGAAAACTTTGCAAGTGGATGTACAAGTGATTATCCTTTTCTTGTGCGGAAATCTTCAAATACTGAAGAAGATAACATAAATTCTGCATCTCTAGGACATGGAATTGGAAACGTCATTTCGATGGTGGACAACTATGCAAAGGGAAAAACCCCCATCAATCATATAGACAACACAATCAACAATGTGAAAGGTGATAAGGATATTGGTGTTGCCTCTAGGATTCCAAATCCTGATAAGGGATGTGATGGGTGATTTCTGCATTGGCAAGCCGCGTAGAGTACTAGAAGTGTAATTCCACCTAAAAGGTTGGATGATTACTTTTGAGAAGGAAGAAAGTCACGCGAGCAAGGCCAAAGTTAGTAATGAAATTAGTATAGAAGTTTGAGAACATGGGTAGGAAGGGATAAGGAAGTTAATTATTTATGATATTGAATATTCTCGTCTCCTTTTAGACTTCTAGTTCAGTTTTCAAGTGTATTTTCCTGTATTGTAATTCCTTGCAATTGCCTTTGTTGTGTTTTATTGTATTTAGTAAAACATATTACAAATATATTTCCGTGTTAGTATTGTGAAATTTTGAGTTGTTGCAGTAACCCATTTTGCCGCTCCCATTACTAATATATTCTATCAAACTCATTTCCTGGTCTTGTATTGCAAAACCTTACAACGCTACGGTTGTTATCATTCATTCTCTTTGATTTTCTATTATCATAATTAAGTCTCTCCAAATTCTAAAAGTACAAAAAACAAAGTATTTATTTATGCAGAATAAGTGTTGTTTTTCAGCTGAGTAACTTTTCGTCAATCCTTTTCTAAGAATATCACTCGGAGGGAATAGTATCCACTAGTAGTGATGTTTATAGTTACGGAATCATGGTGATGTTTTTTTTAAAAAAAAATAAAGTTGTTTGTACTTCAAAGTGTTGCATTTTCCTCATTTTGTGATTTCAGATTTGAGTGGTTTTGAACCTTGTTTTACTTTAGTAATTGGGTTTTTGATTCATTAGTTTCATCCTTTTACTTGTTTAGCAAAAAAAATGCACATCTAAGTAACTATCATGTCTTTGCTCAGTGAGAGGTTCATATTTGGTCTTTTGAACAGTTATAAAAGAATACTTGGTTCTTCGAAGAATATTTACTTTAGTTGCAGAAGTGAAAATAAGATTTAAATATAATGTTATCATACGTGTATAACAGTCAGTCACATAAACGACAAAAGATCTCACAACAAACAAAACTGTCATAGAGTACGTTTGACTAAATTATTAGCTTTTTTTATAAAAAAAAAAAACAAGTTTGCATTTAATATCAATAAA